AGTTGGTTGCAATTACGTGTTATCAACTTTTCTGCTACAAGCAAGAGCATAAATGTGGCAAAGAACGATTTGCCACGAATAGCACTATTCCTGGAACAAAATGGAGAATTCGCCATTTTTTCGCAAATTTGCCACATTTTTGCAGAGACACAGAAAATGTTGATATTTTCTGCGCAGAATTTATGAAATAAAACATAATAAATATCCAATAAATCCATATGTAATGGATTTCTATTACGTTTTTGAAACATTCTAGTATAAATTTTCTATATTATAATCATTAATTGGAATTTTTGAAAATTTCCTGAAAAAAATAAAGAACGACTATGAAATTAGAACAGTTTTTTGCATCATTTGACATTTTTGTTCATTATAACTCAATGTATAACAGAACACTAAAAACGTGAAGCTATTTTGGTAATTATCTCTACTTAAATCAATGCAAATCTTAACGATTTAAAGCTGAAATGGTTGTTGTCTCTGATTAAAAAAGCTGTTTATAGCAGAATTCGGTTATTGTCTATAATGATGCAAAGCTTTCAGTCGTTCTTTGGTTATTTTAAAGAATTCAAGCGGCGCGTGAAAAATATTGGGAGTAGAATCATAACTATTTCCATATATTCGGAAGCGCATCTAAAATTTCGTTTATAAATCGACCGAAAATCGATTTCAAAGTCCACATTTTTATTAGTAGAGATGAAAGTTTTTCATTTATTCACTCCATTTTTATTATTTGTTTGAGAAATTTTCAGTCATAAATTTGCCACAAGAACTGAAACAAATTTGAATATAATTTTTTTCTTTTAGAACAAAATTGTTACATAAATATTGCAAATGTTGTGGCACAGAACAAGTTTAGTGGCAAATGTGTGACATTTCAGTGGCATAATTGTTCTAATTTTGTTGCAATTACGTGAAAGTAACATTTATGGAACATTCAGATTTCAATTGGAACTAATCATGTGGCAATTATGTTCCCGGGAACAACTAATGCTACTCCGAAGATGTGGCATAAGAGCATTTTAGGCTCCGCCCAAGTGCGCTATTCCAGTGGCATATCAACATTTGCAACCGATTAGCAACGGAAATCTTTGTTGCATAGAAGTTGTATATAGTGATTTGTAACTGGATTTTGGCAGTTTGTGTTACTAGTGGAACAAAATTTGTTCATTTATTTTACCCAAATTGATACCTCACATTGCACAAAAGCCAATCGACTCATTCCACAAGAAACTCAAATTACTACCTCCTAAGAAAACATGCAGAGAACAATATGCATTTCGGCGGATTCCCCTTTAACGTCGATCAATCACAAACGGAATATATGTGAGAATCCGTTTGGGAATGACACACACAAGGTATTTCGAAATAAAACCATTTCCAAACTAGTTATTAATAACTTATTATACAAAAGATGCAACGGGGCTATTATTGGATAGACACTAGTAATAATTCTTTCATACAATGAACTCTTTATTTTTCGTCTTTAGGAGAGTAGATTACACGTACAAACATTTTAATTAGAATAGACATACTTGTGATTGTTCTTTAAAAAAAAGTGTTGGTTATCAATTGATACAAATTTTCCGCATACGCCACCGTGGGTCTGATAATTATCTTATGTGTAATAATTATTGCTGGTTGGGATAAGTGTCCTGCTTCTGATGGGATTTTTCTTCATTACTTCAATATAGCGAAGAGACGATATGCCACCGTCAGGATCTAAGAAAAAGGATTAACGTTCATAAATTTATACCGAATCGAGTGATATTTAAAATTAAATGTACAGATGTAAATGTTGGCAAACTCAACGGAAATACTTTTCCGACCATAATTTGGTTATTCCTTTTCAGCGTCTCCATGAAAATAGTTAAAATCATCTGAAAATTCTTCGATTCATTTCGTTTCGAAATGGCTATCATCTCAGGCCAATCAGAGCAATAAAGCCGATACGAAAGTCTTCCGTACTCTGACATTGTTTCCTGACCGAACAAACACATTAAAAAAATTTGCATCAGAAATGATGTAACTGCAAAAGCCGTTGAAACAAACAAAGCCAATTCATTGGTTGATGCCTGCAAATATTAAATTGACAAATCTTGATGGAGTCAAATCAGCCTTTGGAGTTTTTAGTCCGATTTTTTTTCTCTTCTAACTTGATTGAGAAAAATGTGAAATGTAAAATATTTCAAAGCACTATTCAAAAACTAAAATTGTCTGACTTGCCCGTGCCAACTCCTTGGTGACTGAACAAATGACGATGCCAGACAACAGAACCTGACAAAAGTATGCCCACTGCAAATTCTTCTGGATCAATTCAAATGTGGTATTCAATCGCTGATGTGTATGAATTTTTTCCAACAATTCCAATCTAATTTTCTCAATTGTGTCCTTCTTGTTGTTCACTTCAATCACGCCATTCGTGCTCAAGTGACGGCCCAATATATTGATTTGGGCGCTCAACGCATGCATGACGAAACAGTAGTAAGAATCGATGACCACATTCAAATTGCAAGTAATTACAATACCAATATATTGATAGGCATAAATCAACCAATAATCTTTTCTGTTGCTTTCCCAATCGAAGCCGGGGTACCATCCACTGAAAATTAAGCTGGTACTTCTTGTAAATAAAGGTGCTATTCCAAGTCCATTTGCTGCACAATTTGGAAAGAAAAAATACACATAAATGACGATCTGAAAAATGCGTGCTCGTTTTCGGATAATTCGTTCGTCCGGCAAGAAGTTGATGCGAAACTCTTTGATTTCAGTCAAGATTTGTTGCCACTCGCGATTGTTGACGAAAAAATTGATCACTTTTATGGCTAACGCAGCTTCGGTGAGCGACATATAGAGACGATTTGTGAGATCCGAGAAATCCGTTAAGAAAAAAATATTGCAAACCATTAAAACTGCATAGAGTATGGCAAAGATGAAGAGAAACAGAACGGAATAAGTCGAATATGAGAGAATATACAATTTTGATTTTTCGTATGGCTTCCACAAACCCAGAGACCACAGAATGTTACACAACAAACTTGTAATTTTCTTTATATAAATGCTGGTCGGTTGATCCATCTTTGTTTCTTGTATTGAAATATTTCAGTTAGGAGAATAACACACAAACCGTACTCTGATCAAATAAATGTAAATTTTCCAAGAATGCACGCTTTATATTGCTCGACTTTCCTCATAAATACTATTCAAAAAAAAAATTGGAGACTTTCGGAACAGAAGCAATTAAATCTCAAAAACGACGCAATTGAACATTTTCAACATTTTTGTGTTTTTGATGATATTTTTCATTAAATGAAGAAACGCACGGCCAACTTGAAATGGGACATTTTGTAAAATGTTCGAGGACAATTAGAACGAATTAAAAAAATGCTCAATGCGTACAATTTTTCGTGTATAAAATGATTTCCGGCATATCATCTGATGTTTGAGACAAAAGGTGGAGTTATGGCATTTGTTCCTAGATTTTCATTGAACGACGCGTTGAAAAGTTTTCTATTAAAATTTACAAACGATTGTCTCATGAAATTTCTTAAGTGAAACGTTACATGGAAAATATTGATTTTCTCGACTATCCAATAGATGACATCGATTCAGAGAAAAATTTATTGAATCAAGATATTTTTTAAAAGCAAAAATGAACAGATATTTGTTTGTGAAGCACATATAACGAAAGCCACTGAACCAAAAAAATTGACAATCAACGGCTACAATACTAATTTATCATGCATCGTTTCATTCTCCGTAAGAATTGTTAACGTTTGGGTTTTCATAAACCAAAACAAATCAAATCGTCAACGGTTTACTTGCATAGATCTTTCGTGGTGTATTGCATTCGATGTTCGTATAAGCTATGACAATTTTGTTGTCGTAGCTGTTTATTTATCGGCGAGTGAAAATGAAAACTCAACTTCGGCCGTCTTTGAACCTTGTTGTGTTTCGAATGAATGCTCGATTGTTTCTTACTAGGTTTCTAATGGCAATTTAAAAAAAAATCAAAAACACTGGACGCTTTAACCATACCATAATAATTGATAATGGCCTACGAGAATAAGTGAATACACCAGCCATAGTTGATCAAGCATCATCATCTTTGATTGATTTATTTTTGAAAAACTTAAATGATAACAAAATAAGCCATAGCTCAACACGAAATATTCGACCCAATTCGACTATAAAAATATTGATATGAAGATCAAATTATGAACAGCATTAGGCCAAATAAATAATTGACATATGGACACTCCAAAAGGTATTTAGATAATGAATAGTATTCATTCATTGAATATCACAGATGTTGTGTATGCGGAAAGCAAATAGAAAAATATCCAAAATGCGATGTTCCTATCATAAATGGTCCTCAAGAATAAATATTCGAACAAATCAAATATAACACCATGTTTATTTTATCGTACATAATCGTTACGTTTTTCACATGGCATGTAGAAAGCAGTGTGGTATAATGAATTTATCCGAAAAATCTTAGCATGAATAGCCGAATTGTAAACTTCGAACATACCATTACATGATTCTCTATTGATTTTAACATGTTTAACGCTGTGACAAGGGTCTTGTTTTTATTTGTAAACAAGCAATAGATGAGCGGATACTTTTATCGTAACAGGAACTATTAAACTACATCGAAAATGAGTCAAATTGAACCATTTGTTTTTGTTAGAGCATTAGACTTATTTTCAATTGTGAAGAAAGTCTGATCAGCAAGATTATCTCCAAGATCTATTCTTCGCAATGTTTTAGTCTTTGGAAATCTGAAGAACGCATACTTGCATAGTTTATTTATAACATTTGCGTTGAAATAATGTCCTCTAAATGAATACAGTATGCATATCAGATACATCGAATTGAAAAGACAAACATTTTGATTTACCCTCACTGCCTTAGCTCTATATATCTGAAGTATGATAATAAGAAGTTTCAAATAAAAGAACAAAACCATTTGGTAATATGGTAAAATATAGTTTTAATGTAGAAATGTGGAATGAATAAATGGATTACATTTTTATTTCCTATTTACTATGATGGCATGGAAATATTGAAGATGTTTCTTTAATGTTGATAAATTTTGTATTTTCTGTTTATTTAAAAAGTTGTATTTGCTAAAACAAACTCTTGCTAAAGAGCAGCAAAATACTTTTGGTTTACATTTGGATGGCAATATTGGTTAAAATAAAGAAATTATAAATGATTAAGCATGTGATAAAAAATTAAACTGTCTCTGCTGCAGCAGTAAACATCTTAGGATTAGAAGTAAAAAAAATGGTTGTCTTTGGCAGATTTCTAGCGATAGCCTTTGTCTAATGCCATATTATTATCATTTAAAATTCACACATTCATTCAATTTCCATGGCTTCCTCTTTACCAAGTGATTTTATGCCACGATTCAAAATTGAGGCAACATGCGAGTCCTTGGGCAACACTTGATGATGTGCTTTGATCAATTTAATGGCAAAATCCGTTGGATTTTCCTTGAATTTGCATTGGCTCACGCCTGGTGAGATGTCTTTGATGTATTTACGTTTTTTAATGGGCACATATCCACTTTCTTCGATGTTTCCATCGTCGAATGCCTCTTTTTGTTCGCTTGTCCATGGTCCTGGAATTAAGCCCAAGAAGTTGCAATATGCATTTTGTTCGTCTTCATTGGCGAAGTACATCAAACCGGAATACACCCCAATTTGAACTTCATCTTCAACAGCGATGGAGTTTGCTTTTGCCATTCCGGTCAGTTGAAGTCCAACGTCATGAATCAAATTGCTGTGTAGATTGCTCAATCGGGGACGATACATAAAAAGCGTTGCATGGCCACTCTTACGAAAAGCTGGTATCAGTTGATTGCATTCAAACGAGCTCAAAAGAATCAAAATATTCTTGGCACCTGGATTTTTAATGCAGGCAACCCAGAAAACTGGTCGCAAGAAATCGTTACATGCCTGCGGTTGATTCTTGATGACCATCGTAAAATCTTTGGTGACCAACAAGTGGCTGGCCCATGCATCATCGTTTTTTTCACAAAACTCAAACATCTGCGTGTTCGAAAGACTTTCAACGATTGAAAGTAATGCTCCTTGGGCAATCATATCGTTAAATATGCCATCACTTCCAATACCATCAAGCACCAATCGTTTCAATCGATCATCGAAACGTGGCATTGTTGCTTCGGCACATCTTGGTCTTTGAATTTGCGCCTGCTCCTCCACTTCTTGCTCCAACTCTTTTTCTTGTTCTTCATCGAGTGTAGTGAACCGTTCAACTGACGGTGCTAATTCTTGCAATTTTTCCCATACGGAATCTTGCATATTGCCAATGAACTTTTTTATTGCTTTGAAATGTGGACCTTTATAATCAAAGACAAGGGTATCGAATTTCTTCCATATAATATCGTGCAGTTTTGCCTCTTTCTTTTCACTGTACATTACTTCCAATTCGAACAAATCGTCGTCAACACAAGTCATGTATAGCGCTTCTAAGGAGCTATCATCGATCGCATTTCCCAAAGAAATTTCATACTTTTTGTGTCCACTCATTTTCTTTGTGTAGTTCAAAGCGTCAGCGGCCCAGTGTGTCATGTTTGCTGTTTTGAACAAATTGCTATTATTTTCAATGAACTGCATAACGTGCTTGATTTCAACTTTACGTTGTCCAGATAGCTCTCGTAATCGTATATCTGCTTCGTGTGAAGGCCAAAATAAAATCGATTGCGTTGTCTTCAATTCACGCATTCGCATGCATGATTGCACCGTTTTATCGCATGTTATATCGCCTGACAATGTAACACAAGCCATCCAGTTTGATGGGAATTTCAGATCAGTGCCACGAGTGTGGGCATCATCCAAATACACAACACATGTGCTCAAGTTTTCACGATACACGGAATAATCAAATTCGACAACGCAGCCATTGCGATCGATCGTTTGCAAAATGTCTTGTTCGTCAAAATAAATGGCTGCGTCGCGATCCAAGGCCAGCTTCAACCATTCAACGGCAGTTTCTTTGTTGTTGAGTTCCAGCATCAATGCGCCCGAATCCAAAAGCACTCGAATATCACGTTGTACCAGCTCCTGAAGAATTTCCGTTGAAACTTTGGCGGACTTTTCATATACCATATTTTTTGGGCTCAATAATATCTGTCGCATCTCTTCGTTGGTTCGCTCAAGTTCAGCAAGATCGTTTTGCGAAATTGTCACGGGAAGTATGTCTTTGGTATCGTTTGTACCACTGAATCCGGTGACTCGGTGTTCGAGATGTTCACTGCAAAGATCCCAGGCCGTGCACATGAGCTTTTTCTTAAAGATTTTCAATTCTTGTGGATACACAACGTTGGACAGCCAAAAATCGATAACATTCATATTTCGCCGAAACAAAGGAAAAAGAACGTCGTTACGTTGATCGGGATCGTCTAAATTTATACCACTATACGATTCAATTGATGCATCAACCTGGTCATTCGGAATGCCACTGATCCATTTGGCATAAATGTTCGCTTTATCCGATGAGTCTTCCAAAATGTTGAACACCTGATACAAAATCGAATCATTAAATGTATATTTAAATTGAAAAAATAAATTGATTTGACATGGATACGAAGACGCTGTCTACACGAGCAAAGCTTGAAACCGATTGAAACAATGTTCTTGTATAAAGAATTGCAAACACATATTGCAATATGTTCATTGAACATGAAAGTGAACGTTGCCTTTATTTTGTGCTCGGATAGATGAGCGTCTTCGGCGCATTTTCCATTCATTTGAAATTTACCTGGAACAATTCAGCATCCGATAATCCTGCAATGTGAATAAGAAAAAAAAAACTTTTATGTCTGTGCATAGTATAGTTTGTTATGCTATAATTTATCTAACCTGAGTAGTAATAGCTCATCTGTGTGAAACATACGGCAACATCTGGATGTCCAAATTCGGCCATTTCTGCTGCGACCTAAATTTTCATATAAAATTGAAATTATTTTTATTTAAGAAAAATTAAAAAAAAATCGATTAAAAATGAGAAAAGGTACAAACATCTTTTGCTTTGAAGGGTACGGCCATTTTACGTTTTCCTTTGACATCTACGCCGTAGTTAACTCGCCACCGTTTTGTCAAAGCTAACTTTAGTACTTCAAATCGCAATAGACCACTTAAAATCCAAATAATGTTCTGTTTGTCCTTTGAAAACTTTTCGATCGCTTTCTTTGCACTTTTGTCGTCAAATTGACCTTTATTTTCTTCACTGCCCAATAAATGTTTTACGCTCGGTTTCTTCGTGTCATCAACTCCCGGGAAATCAATATCTAACCGTCCGGCAAAGAAATCGTCGATAAGTGCATTTTTCAAATCTTCAAAGATGGTTTCATCGAGAATGCGGCAATGTATGAATTCATCTGGCCGACATTCGGCGCCGCAATTTTGTCCAAACTCGACTTTCTCTTTTCCATATTTAAGGTAGAGCCAATGCATGTGGATTGGAACGAGTTTTAGCACCGCTTGTGTAACTAGCCATCGATGAGAATCACCATCCGGCTGCATATAACTACCCACTGTGTAAATAAGTTGATACTTTGCATTCAAAATGGCATCGGATTCATCCAAAATGCTTCGAACATTCGTATTTGTCCATTTAAGCATATCCAGCAAAATTTTGGCTTTTGTGTAGTCTCGATTCTCATTGGATTTTAGTTGCGATGCAATCGATTGATAGATTTTAAGCTGAAACGATAACCGATACTCTGGCAGCGTAAGAATGACACCTGCAAATGAAAACAGATATGAAGTATAGATATGCAATTTCATACTGGATTGTAAAATGGTACCTTTTTCCCGTTTGCATTCTTCATAAATATCCAAAATTTTGCGTGCATTACTTTCGATTGGCATATCTCGTCGGCATGGGAAAATGTAGACTCTTCGATTGAGAAATCCTCCCAAATATTGGCGCAATGATTTGAGATTTGTTGCAAAAAGTGACTTCAACACAATAATTTGGCAGACCAGTGTTCCATCGGCCAATCTAGCGGCTAAAATTGGTACAATCACCTTTGTTTTGCCTTCACCCATATTCAATTGCATTACGGAATGTTTGGTCTCAATTTTGGGTGGATCAATCATTCGCTTGGCGATTTCGATTTGAATGCGACGAATTGTTAGATTCTGTTCAATTTCAAATAACAGCCACTCGGGATATTCATGGGGTGACCAATTCTCGTATGGTATGTTATCCATTTCTCTATCCAAGGCAGCTTGACTCTCTGGCCGTTTTAAGTATGCATCCATTCGGTTTTCACGTTGCTCACGAGCAATAGCTAAACCAAAAGCACCAATCAAAAATCTTTGGTCATCGTCAACATTTGAATCTGTTAATTTTGGCAAAAGCAAACTTGGTGCCATCCTGGGAAAAATTCCGGCTTGAACCAAATGGCTCGTTTCAATTGAATTTTCAAAAATGTTTGTGTAAATTGTCCACCAATCGAGTGCTGAATAAAGTGAAAAAGCTTTGCCCTGCCATGTATTTTTAGCCTCTTCGATCTGTTGTTTTTCTTCTTCCGAGCTTTGTTCGAATGCTTTGCGCATTTTGGCTTTAAAATCGATTAAAGTTTGGCACCGTGTTTCTGGTGTTGACGTTGGCGCAAGACACGGATGCACTTGGACTGAACCAATACCATTCAATGTTCGAATTCTACTTTGTACTTCTTTGATGAAATTGTAGAGTTCATCATTCGCATACCAATTTTTGAGTCGTTCATTTATGGCAGCATTTGCTGCATCAAAGTCAATGTATTCGAATGGCCATCTATGGGTGAAATCGAATGAAGTACAGGGCCATTTACTAATGATTTCTGCCCTTATATCGTCCATAATCGAAGTAAGTTGCACTTTGTGGATGCCTTGTTCTTTCATTGGCCATTCACTGTATTGCGACGGTTGTGTATAGTATTGCTTCAGAAGACCAGACACCTCTTCAGTGTTAAAAGTTCCAGCGAAAATGGGAAAAGTATTTTTTTTCGGTGGTTTTATGTCCTTGAATGCATCCAAATTTGCGGCAACTGCTTGCAGTGCTAAAATCGCATTGATGTCCTCTTTAGCATTGTTAGCATAGAAGCTGAGTATGATTGTGAATTGTTCAGGAGTAAGTTTCTCTTCAATAGCCGCATCGTATAGCGAAATCCATAAATCACGCAATTCCACGTGGACACTATGATTCAAAATATCTTTTATGCGATCGCTATTACCAAGTCCATCCAGCGTCTTTTCTGCATCACCAGTTAAAAACGGTTTCAATCGGAAATTTGATGGTACCATAAATTGCCGCATGTGGTGCAAAATGCACACTGTTCTCGTATCATCCGAAAAATGAACTCGATTTTGGCGTGTTGGTAAGGTTTCCATCATTTTTCGTCCCATGAACGTATTTGAAAGACCTAGATTTGGATTCAGTTGCTGGCAACGTCTATGATCGCGCTCATTTAGTTTTAAGTTTGTTTTGAGTTCAATTAATTTATTGTCTGGTTTTTTGCCATGAAGGCTACACAATCGTTGACTATCCTCCACTAATTTGTTTGCGATAAAAACAAAACAGTCCTGTGCTGAATGTGGGAGAACATTTGTGGGCCACGTAACAGACTGGATGTGTGTATCTTCTTTGAGTTCTCGGTGCGGTGTTAGATTGGCAATTTTTTTCAACATTTTAATCGCTTCAGGCTCATAAGGTGCCGAAGACCAAGCGAAAGCTGACTGCAGGATTTGTATGGCACGTTCGGTGCCTGTCATTTTGGTGAATGGCTCAACCTCACCATGAGATGTGACTGCATGTAAATAGGCCAGATAGAACCAGGATGCATGAGTGTCGTTGGTTGATTTTAATTGACAACAAAATTTATCCACTTGATATTTGTAAAATGGCGGATTTTGCAATTCATCCATCGTGTTAATCGACACCGATGGAAATACGTCTTGGTTATTGATTCGAATCTGTCCGTTTGGGATGAGTATAAATTTTGTTTCCTTTTTTTCGCTCTCCAAGACTAGGCCATGATTAAGTCCGCATAAAGTGGCGATTTTCTGGTCGTGAATCACACGCATTTCATTGAATTCGTTTGACACCAAATAGTATTCATTGTCCAAGCATTTGACTGTGAACTTTAAGTTCATGCGCCACAATACTACTTTGGTCTCTTCAGTTTCAACGTCATATAGCACATGAATGTATTTCGGATGTTCCAAGCGATAGAGTTGGTCGGTAATTTTCTTGTAGCTGTCTGATTTGATGTCGAGCATTGGTCGCTGCGTTTGTTCATGAATCAGATGTTTATTATTGAGGTTCAATCGATAGTCAATGGTGGTTTCTTTTGAAAAATGCTTCTTCCCGAATGTTCTTCTCCGAAATTCGATGCAGTTGTCATATTTATTCCACCAGTGATTATAATCGTTTACGAGATTGTGTGGAAAGTCATCATGAAATACACTTTGATCAATGAGCTCTTTTTCGAATTCTCTAACCTTCTTCTCGATGACAATGACGTGGTCGTTGACCATTTTGAATTCATAGCTGCAATCGTTGTACTTCAGAAGTGTGGAAAAATTACGCTGCGCATCTGGTTGAACTTCAAGTACAACGTCTTCAAAGAACCTCTTATATATATTGCTGTCCATAACTTTGCCAGGTAGACGTGATAGCGGTAAATGATCGACCTATATTTTAGAACGAATGAAATATTAACTTCAAAAATGAATGATTGATTATTCTTTTTTTTTTCTTTACCAAAAATGCACCAGTGATTATGTCGATTGATACAGTATGAGACGTTGACCCCACATTTGTCTGTGCAATCAAAATGTGCGGAAATCTTTGATCAAAATCAATTTCGACGAAATTCGCACTCTTAGCACGCGGCCATTGCTGTTTAATCAATGCAAATATAAATTTTCGATCTCGTTCAATCACCTCTGAAACTTTTTCTTCCAAAGATACGCCCACACGTTCAATCAGCCTGAGAAACATGCGCAAATTCGATGACAATCGCCCTTCATCGTTTGTGTATAGGCGAACATTGTTGTTCAAGCTGATATTGAATTGTAACCATGATTCCACTGCCGTTCTGCTCGCCGTATTGTTTGGGAAAATATTTTGGAAGTTTTTGTGCTTTGGATGAACAAAAAACGTTAGACCACCAATGATTGCCACGTAAATTAACTTCAAACGTAAGCTTCGTTCGGTGGTTTCATCAGGATTGGTCATATCCTGTATGCAAGTTCCGATTTTGTCAATCCATTCCAAAGCAATGCTGCGAATACGACATAAAATCTTTACAATTTTATTGGCCAACGCGTTGGTTTCATTGATTTCAAAAGCACGAACGGCAATTAATGCCACGATCAAAATTTTAAATGGGTGCGTCCAATTGTTTTTTTGTTGCTCGACAAATTTTCCCAACAGTTCAATTATTGCGCCGCAGAATTTATCATCACGAAAATCAATGTGAGCCTCTCGAACAAAATCACCGTCACCACTCACTTCACATTCCCACAGTGTCTGCATCACCAATGCTAAAACGTCCTCTCTTTCAAACGAAAGTGCTTCAGTTTCGATCATCGCGTACAACTTGCGAATTTGTAATCGATGGCCATCGGAGCGAAGCGAACAAAAGTTCTTGTACTCGGACAGTGTCAAATCAGTTCCGCATTCGGATTGACTCGATAAAACTTCATTTTCGGTGTGCTGAGTGCCATGCAAGGCCCATTGTAGGCCAATATATTCATGTTGCGCTTTTAATGTGCAAATGTCTTTAAATAAATCGTCTGTTGGGAATGAAAGCGCTCGCTTTTTTGTGCCATAGAAAATACAATTGAATGTGTTGTGAACGATAATGTTTTTCAAGGTACATTTTTCCACACTGAATTTTTTCATCTTTCGGTTCTTTGTGCTTCCAAGCTTGACGCATTGGCTGGCTGAATTATTGTATTGTGCAAGTTTTTTGTTACTCAGCAATTCTTTGATTTTCATTGTCTTGGGCTCTCCATGGCAAAATTCGGCAAAAACATACAGTAAATCTCTTAGGCATGCGATCTCATCAGGGATTTCAAGCTCAAATACGATCGCAAATTGATTCGTTTTATTTTTGGGCAAAAGATGTTCGTATGGCTCGATGGTCACATCAGCGGCTCGTCGTTTCAATGCACAGTTCTCACATGCGGGAGAATGTAATTTCCGATTATTTTGGCCCGAAATGTACTTGCAGACCATGTTATTGGCTTGGCTTCTCAGTTTGTTCGCTTCTTTACGCTTTTTATTCCATTCGGCTTTTGTACGTTCCACGTTCTCCTTATCTTTGGCCCAAATTTCTTGGCAAATTCGTTTCATACGCCAATTACCTTTAACAAATTTTGCCGAAAATGAACTTTCATCAACAGTTTCTTGTTCAATCAAACTTGGACCGATAGCTTTTTCATCGCGATCGCTGAAATACTTCTCTATTTCAAAAGCAATGTGCATATCAGTGCTTTGTGGTAGCAACAAATAGTCGATTATTTTTGTTTTAACTCCACTTCGATGTTCCTTGAGGAGCGGATACTTTTCAGTTGCCATTGCATCCAAAATTGCAATGATTTTTAAGCGAACCAAAAGCATTCGGCTGATCAACAATGGATCCTTTTCGTACTTAGTTGCAGCAAACTTCGCATAAGCAATCGACCACTTACGTAAGTCAACAGCGCTCAAACGTTTGTTTCGTATTTCCATTTCGTACAGAATGATTTGCTCAAAATCGATCCAAAAAATGCGGTGATCGATCTCTCCGGTCACTTTGCGCAAGCAATTAAAAGCCGGAATTCCTGTTTGGAAGTAGCGCTTATATGTTGTAAAAATTGGAGTTTTGAAACCATTATCTGTTTGTGGTGCATCTGTTTCTCTATTGTTCAAATAGTCGTCCAACTTGGTCATTTTATAGCAAATATCTGACTCGAAATTCAATCCAGTCAACGGATGCAATCGCGCAGCATTTATATCGATTATGTGCATTTCATTGATTTGATCGGTGATTTTTTCACGAATTGTTTCAATCGTTTTTTTCGCCTCGTCAACGGTGGCTTCATACAAATCGATCATGTCATCTGCAACCGTCATATCAGACAGCTTTTCGATGCGTCGCGCCAATTTGGCTATCGCCTGAGACAGCAAATCAATATTGAATCTATCGCCTTCCTGATATGGAGCATATGTGACAACCAGAAATTTCAACATGAAAATTTTGTAAAGTAATTTACCGGCATCGGCGCCCAGTTTTAACGTGAGATAATGCTGAATCATCGCCTTGATGCTTATGTAGAAACTTGAGCGCCGAAAAAAGTTTTCACCGCTGCCCCAAACTTCGTCTCGAACCTTCTTTGTAATGGCCGGAAATTCTGCTTCGGTTGAGTTTTCATCCATCAAAAGTGTTAGTAGCCATTTTGACACGCAGTCTAGGTGCTTGTATCCAACCGGCAAACTATCACTCAAAACACACAATTGATTGGAGAATTCATGTGATAATAGCATTTGCGAGCATTTCACTTTGATGGCTTTCTCCGGGTAGTTGAACTACGGATGAATCAAATAAAATATTATCAGCAACGCTTCAGTTCCACTCATTCCGATTGATCTGTAGCTTTGCTCTCAAACTCTACTATCAATCTCACCCATTGATTTATTGTGGATTTATAATAAAATATGTTACCTGTATGCCACTGTCTCGACTGTAAATTTCGGTTGAATCCAAACTTCCCGGGAATGTAGCCACAATTACGTCGTCTGAACTTTCGTCCGGCGGTACATGAATCATAATGCCACATAATTGAGTTCGTACGAACATGGCGAAATTATCACCTGAGTGCAAATTGTTGATGCTCTCCCAAACGATGTGTGGTGTGCATTCAATGTGGAAACTCTGCAACATCTGTAATAGTTCTGCCGTTTTTTGCGGTAACCATTTCGTAGCCCAGTTGTCAGCAATTCTTATCATTTCACTTATTATTTTCAATTCTGTACTGAGCAAATTTTCAGGAGTTTTCTGTGGTAGAACTCGTGGTAAGAGAACATGATCCATCAGCGCATCGTTCTCTATATTAGGATTTGAATAATTGTGATCGTCAAACATTGCCAGTCGTCTCATTGGTAAAGCTTCACGTGGCATCGGCGTATTGGCCTCATCCAAATTACGGTTGGAATGATTTTCATCGTCAATCATCGCCAGTTGTCTTATGATTAAAGTTTCTCGTGGAATCGGCGTATTGTTCTCATCCAAATTATGGTTAGAATAGTTTTCGTCGTCAATCATGGTCAGTCGTCTCATTGCCAAAGTTTGTCGAGGCACCGGCGCATTGGCCTCATTTAAATTACGGTTGGAATAGTTTTCATCGTCAATCATGGTCAGTCGTTCCATCGGCAAATTTTCTCGTGGCGACGAAATGTCGAGCAGCATGCAATTTCTGTCATCCAGGCTGGAAGGCAAATCAATATCATCGTCGATCATTGTCTGTCCTATTGGTAAAATTGGTCGTGGCACGATTTCGAGTTCGAGCTCAAGGTAATCCATCGGCGTATCCTCCTCCTGCTTAATACTTGATATATCCACAGGATAATCCATTGTGTTGTTCAGTGAAATGGTTAAATGAACAAAATATTGTAATGAGCGAAGGCGCCAATTTTCGACATCTGAAAATCATAATTGTTACTTTGAATGAATAACCTCTTACCCGGTTCAAAAATGTTTGTTGAAAAAACCTATAGATAAATCATATTTTTGGGTAAATAAAAAAAAGGTTCGACGATTTTTGGTATTTCTTCAGACGATTTCTAAAATCCACCTTAAGAGATAGTCACGCTAAAGACAATTGAGTCGGGCTTTTAAACGATTTTCATATAATTCTAGACAATTTTAACGGAAAAAAAATTAATGAAAAATTTATTGGAAGTCTAAAAGCCCAAAGATTCTACGGAAATCGACTGATATTTTATTAAATTGTTGGATATTTATGCTGCACGTATTTATTAGTTTATAAACGTTCAAACTGTTTCCACTAGCCGAAATTTATTAAACGGAAGCTCACAATTTAATGTATTTTATTTTTATCTTGAAAGCGCAAATAATTCGGCAGGAAAAATAATTGGTTCTTTATGTTGTTAAAGGCATCGATGAGTGTTGACTTCGAACGATCCTTCGTTTGCTCGATAAAATTGTTTTTACTTCATTCGTTGGTTCGAAAGTTTTTAGCTTCGTTCAACTATCACAAAAATATTTAGCTCATTAAAATAGTAAGGATGGAAGCAAGTTTGAACTAAATAAGAATTAATATATCGGCAACCTAGCCTCGCTTTGTGACTCAAAGCTTCGCCTGTCCGTATTATCATAATATTTCAATAAAAATAAGAAAAAGATGATAATAATTATTTTTTTCGGCTGTGTCTATTTCGGGCGCGAGAATCGATAAAGTCATGGATTTAATAAATGATTATTTAATTTCAGAGATAATATTAAAATTCTTTCATTTTGCAAATAACAAGTATAGAGATTATAGGATAAATTCAGGGAGTCAAAGATACACAAAGTAACAAAAACACAGAGTTTTTCTTTTAAACTTTTGAAAAATGAATTACAAAAATCAACAAAACTGGCTTTAACATGGATCCTGTTCAGGCTGCGAGAAATCAAACAACATGCATATTACATATCAACAAAAACAAATTGTAAAAAATTGGGGCACTCACAGATGAACTTTCAATTTTAAATTGTACGAAAATAGTACAATACGTTGTCAACATATATGATTCTTAAGATTTTTTGTAAACTTTCGAAAGAACCAACAAAAAACTACTTTTAAATAGCTTCGAAAGTTCGAACCAGTGTTCGAATATGTTTAGCGGTTAACACTAGCATCGAATCTGAAGTCATTTCGAAGTCTGTATTGTGTTTACGAATCACAGCCCTCGCTGCATTCATATTGCAGCGGCGAAAACCGTCTTCAAAAAATCATTTTTCATTGTCATACATATCAAAAATTGATCTGGGCTATGGCATGAAACACTAACATTTATTCCGCACCAAAAAACAAATTATTCTTCTCACGTTACGAAACATACCTAATTCAAGAAAAGTGTGTTTGGAATGAATTCAAACTCAACCATTTTGTCTCCGTAGATACACTAGTTTAGTTTGAAAATGATGCAAAATTGTTCTGAATAGTCTGTGAAACACTGTTTATGTGTGTTCCAAATGTTTTTCTAGCTTTATTTTCTAGAGCAGAAACACTCTAAAGCACCAAATAAAATTCGCTATCCTAAAAAGCATTTGCAATGAAAATAAGAAGCACACTAATGAACATCTATTCACATTATAACACTATTCTGAATGAATTTCAATGAATCGCAATTTTAAGAAAACCACACATTTTCCATCAAAAATATGTTCGTTACTATGATATCAATATTGAATATAATGTTTTACGATTTGAATTTTACGGTATTTTCACAAGGAATTGTCACATACTTGGAAATAGTTCGATATTCAAATTAACACGATTATTTCAAAATGAAAAAAATTCTTCATGATGGTAATTGCGAAAGAAGATCAATTGTCTTTTGTAATAAACACACTTCACGAGATGATTAGATGCACGTTGGCTAACTTCGGAGGTTCGTGTACAAATGACCACACAGCGTACGATTGAAATCTAAATGCCGTGGCTGCGATCACCGCAACGTTGTCGATGCGATCATCAACATCAATGGACTGTAATCGTATAGCGTAGGGTTTGACGGATCAACCACATTGAAAGTTACGATGCGATTCGGAAAGAAATACTCTCTCAGTTTACCAATCTTCGAGATACTTCTGTCTTTTACATTTTGAGTGTATACTGTATATACTATATAGCAATTCTATACAGGCGATCATGCTTCGAAAACGATAGATCGGCTTCAAGGGATGTTTCAATATGAAAAAGAGAAAACACACCGCTTGAGCCCTTGTCCCTTTGCATCTTTTTAAGCGTGTGTCGTGTGCCGTTGTATGCGTTTTCTATTCATGCACTTTATTATCTATGCTGTTTTGTTGATGATGTTTTTCATGCTGAAAGAAATCGCCAGTTGAAAATATTACCCAAAACAAATGCATTTTTTGACCGTGACTTCAAGTGGTATCGGATTACACCATAAAATGGTTTCTCGTCATAAATTAAGGTTGATATGGCTACTGAACAAACGCTTTAGTGCTTTTTCATTAAAAACTGTCGACTTTCCATGCATTCTGCGATCTTTGGTTTGTTTTAAGTCAGAAGTATTAACAAGAAATGAAGAAAACTATTAACAAGATTATACTGAAAAAACAGTACTGATGAAGAAACCAATTTTCTTTGATGAAACCATCCATTTTTTCTAGATTTTTTTCTCGAATGATGCAATAAGCAATTTCTAATTAGGCATTAAAAAGAGTCATCGTTGGTCATTTCTTCAGTATTGTATTAAATATATTATCATTCATTGTATTTGATGAGCAAAGAAATAAAGGAAGAAAGACGTTTCTGTTTGCAGTTTGTTCCCCGAGTAGCAAATTTCCCCTTTTTCTCGGTTGCAAATGGGTTACTATAACTTAAATACAACTCCAAAGATGTTGCAAGCCGATCTTTGTAACGTTACAATAACCGTATTGTAAGCTGTTTAGCCGCGAGGCGGGGCTTATTTGCAACAAATTGGTTATATTTCGGTTATAATTCGATTTTAGTTATGTTATTATATCGTTGCAATAGCCATGCTCATAAATCGCATACTGTCATATAACCAAAATATAACTTTTTTATAACCAAAGAAAGTTTCAATAAAGTTACTATCGAGTTTCAATTTGAATGTTCATTCTTCAATTCATTCCTTTCAACAGCATCATCATTTATCTCTATCTTTGCCAAATTCAACTGGAAAAATATTTAATCGCTGGGCAATTACATATAGACCAAGAGCTGTTGAACAAAGTACTTACCTTATAAGCTAAATGTCCGATAATGGAATTGTAGATGCACATTAAGGCCAATATTCAAAATAACAATTTGTTTTATCTTCATTTGATACACATCACAATATCTGCTCACCGATAACAAGAAACAAAATTGCTTCACTTTTCGCTCAAGCTTTATGGCAGATTTTTTGTTTACTGCTAAGTTCGTACAAGAATAATTCAAACATAAAAAATCTGCTCCAAATATTGTATACAACATTTTCTATTTCACATCAAAGTCTCATTTAATCCAAAGAAGTGAGGTTATGTTGTAATCATGTCAAAATGGATAAAATGCATTACAAACACATAACCTCACTTATTTGAATTGAATGAGACTTTGATGTGAAATAAAAAATGTTGTGTACAATGTTTGGAGCAGATTTTTTGTGTTTGAATTATTTTTGTGCAAATTTAGCAGTATACAAAAAATCTGACATGAAGCTTGAGCGAAAAGTGAAGCAATATTTTTTCTTGTTATCGGCGAGCAGATATTGTGATGTGTATCAAATGAAGATAAAACAAATTGATATTTTGAATATTTACCTTAATGTGCATCTACAATTCCATTATCGGGCATTAAGCTTATAAGGTAAGTACTTTGTTCAACGGCTCTTGGTCTAATATATATGTGTGATTATGAAATTATTTTGCCGATTTTGAACATTTTCAAAATCGAAATTTTACAACGAATGTCATTTTGTCGTCAATAGTGGCCACGATAGGCTCTTAAAATTCACGCGCCCTTCAAAAAATGCAATTTTGAGAAAAAATGTGCAAAATATTTTTTTTAAATTTTTTAAATTTTTTGGTTTAACTATCTCAAACCATTTCAAATACGATTTATAATGTCAAAATTATAATAATTAGCTAAAACGCAATGTTGAAAATGCATAAATATATGATAAATTCGATTTTATTTTCGAAAGAACAAGCGCATCGATGCGCAAAAAATTCCAAACAGCAGTAAATATGGAGATTTTTACTGCCATTGTTACTAAAACTCAAATGTAACTCAAATAGAACCTTGGAATTGTTGTAACAATACTGCTACATTGTAGTAATGTTGCAGGAACTTCTTAGCTTCCATCTAGACTTTCATCATATAAAACACGTTGCAAAAACATTTCGGCAACATATTTACAACTTGTGTTATTCAAGTTGCATTTCAGTTTTTGAAATGTTGTATAAACGTAAGAGTAACAAATAAAATTCTATTTTGCGTTTCAATGTCAAACAATATTTTGAATGCCAGCATATTTTTGAACAATTCTCTACGTTTTTTTTCATAATTTCCATTCTTTTTAATTTTATCCCACGACAGTTTCAATGAAATTGGTCTGTTTTTGTTTTGTTTTCCATGATTTTATTTTATTGCCACAGAATTTTGATTAGGCGATGTATTCCTTACGGAAAGAATTCTAATGACAGCCAAATTTTATTTCTTTATGCAACGTATCTACATTCAATATGTTTAGTTGAAGTAACCTTACTGTAACCTCTATATAACATGAATGTAACTTAATTATAACTTGAATTACGTTATTGTAACAAGAAAGATAGTAATGAAGTAGTTTCAACACAAGTTGTTTTTTTTTGTGATTTCTCTGTTTTTATTGTAATGATTGGTTTTGGATTGGATGAAATCCACCAACGCGAAACGTTTAACGTTCTCAACGTTTTCGAAACTCATTAGCTTGGCAAATTCTTCAACAGGAATTGCATTCTTGGACCAAATGTATGAATGTTTGACAAGGTGAAATGCACTGACGTATCATGGTTACGTATGTAACCAAATCGTAGTTGCAGCAACGTTACAATAAAGTTTTGAGATTATGAGTTATCTGGCAACCAGTTGGTAAATTTGTTAAAATATTTCTCCTTTTCTGCAACTTAAAAATAACTTTTCTATAACTTATATATAACAAAGCGGATGCCTTGTTACCTAAAAACCACATTGCAACTGTTCTATAACATATTTTGTTGCGAATAACTAAATTGAAACCGATTTATAACAAATTTTGGTTGCAAGCCTGAGATTTTTGCTACTCGGGTCTCTTTATTGTGGAAATAAATGTTCATAAATAATCATATATTAGGCGCTTTAAATTGAAAGCCGAATATAATAAGGATAATTTTTAATCAACTTGTTGTTTGTTGAATAAGTTGATTAAACATTGAGAATCTTTTTCATGATCCGAATTAGTTGTTCATGGTTACTTCATTATGGCAAAGAGCCGATAAGCCATTGTTAAGATCTAAAATCGTGGAAACGGTGTTAATTTTCATTTATCAAAACGGAAAGAATTTATATTGTAATTATTACCGAATTAAAAGTTGCCAATCCCAAAGGAAACACTTTTCCAATCATGATGCTGTTCTCACGGTTCAGAATCATCATAAACTGAATAAAATCCATTGATTTATTCCGTTTAAAAATAGCAATCATTTCAGGCCAATCACAGCAATAGAGCTGATGAAGGAGCAAATTGAATTCGGTCATTGTTTCCTGACCAAAAAAGCACATCAAAAGTATTTGCCAAAAAAATATAAAAACTGACATCAAAGTTGTGACAAAATAAATCACTTCCGTCGAAAGAGATGTCTGAAATAAACAAAACAAATGACTTTTTCCTTAAGCGAAATAAAATATGGAATCCATACCGTCGCCAACTCCTTTGTAACTGAACAAATGACGATGCCAGACAACAGAACCTGACAAAAGTACGCCCATTGCAAATTCTTTTGAATCAATCCAAAAGTGGAATTTAACCTCTGATGTGTCTCTATTTTTTCGATCAAATCCAATCGCGTTGTTTTAGTTCCATTCTTTCCCTGTTTGACTTTAATCGCACTCAAATTACATCCAAAAATATTGATCTGAGCACTTAGCATGTGCAGCACGAAACAATAATAGGAATCAATGGTCACATTAATATTACACGTAATGACTATTCCAATGTATTGATAAGTGTAAATAATCCAATAGTCCAGTCTATCGTTTTTCCAATCAAACCCAGGGTACCATCCACTGAAAATTAAATTCCTTGCACCGCTCAACAATGGCATCAAGGCATATGCCTGAATTGCAATATTCGAAGATAAAAGGTACATAGAATATGCTACTTCAAAAGCACGGGAACGCCGTTGAATAATTCGTCCTTCGTTTGGCGAGCGAATGCGAAAGTTTTTAATATCATTTAAAATTTGCTGCCAGTCACGATTGTGAATGAAAAAATTGATAATTTTTATTGCAGCAGCAGCTTCGGTGAGCGACATAAACAGACGGTTTGTTAGATCCGAGAAATCCGTTATGAAAAATATATTGCACACCATCAACGTCGCATACAATATGGAAAAAAAGAGAAGAAACACAGTGAAAAATGTTGAATAGAGTTGAATGAACGACGTTGATTGGTCGAACGGCTTCCACAGCCCGAACGTTCGCAAAATACAGCACATGAAATTCGAAATTTTCTTGATGTACAATTCAGTTGGATTATTAAAGTCCATTGCTTTGGATGGATCTTTAAGGCGGCTTTTCAACAAGTTAAACACTTTTCTATCAGAGATCGGTCACTCACAAAATGAATGAGAATGGATCAAAACCAATCCTTAAATACTTTTCACTGGCATTGGAAAATAAAACGAAGTATATGCTTCATTTTATGTTTTTCTCTCGTTGACAATTTTTCTCTCGAATTGTCATCAATAATAATAATTGTCTTACTAAAATTAAGATGATCAATCATTGAAAGAAACCCTAAAAATTGTGAAGGATGTGGATTTAGCTTTTTAACTACCATCCCAAAAAGCTTAACTTACGATAATGGCAGTACATGATATCAGTGAATACATCACACAATACATTTTTGATTGTAATTGCTTTGATGTATAAAAATCAACAAATTATAGACTTAATCGTTTCATTTTCTAGGAAACGTTATGTCTTCTGAACATTTGAAGAAAAAAAATGATATGTTATCAATCGAATGATATAAAAGGCGTTGAAAGGAAATAGGCAACGATTTAATGGAATATCGAAAATGGTTTTAATTTGGATTCAAAGTAATTAAATGAAACTGAAAAGGCATTTAAATAAAGAGTCCAAACCGAATGGAATTTACTTCGAAAAAATCCCAACTCTGGTAATAATTCTCCAAAATTTCTCCATCACTTCTTCTCTAAAATCCGAATTCTTGGCTCCGCCTTGATTCACATAGAGCGCAGGACAAATTTTCCATTTTAAAATTGTCCAATAGTTGAAGAAATTCCAACGTTTTCGATTGTTTGTGTTTTTGGTATCATAGTAGCTGTACCGTTTCTACGGTAGTTGTACTCAAGCGAAAGTTGTAGAAAGAGACAGCGCGATAATGACAAGTGTTAAGTACATGTTTTGATGTTTGAAGCAGTGTGTGCGTTGCTCATGCTCGTCGAATGTGTCACAAACGACGTATGATTCAGTGGTTGTTCGGCTGCCGCTTGTACATGTTGATATAAAACGGCATAAAAATCATTGGATATCAGTCAGACGATACGGTGACATGAGCACAGTAACATATCACTGTCTCGATGCCACTGTCAACTAGAACATTAGACGAAATTCCGAGTTGTTTTTTTGTGTTTTTCCTTTTTTCTATGTGTTCGATGAACGCACAACTGAATTAGAATTTAACTCTGCAACCCATGAAACATTGTGAGTAATCATTGCAACTTTTTCGGTTGATTTGCGGCAGAATGTGTGTTGAGAAATACAATTCTCATCTAAAAATAATTGTTGATTGTATTTTGTAAGAACGGTCACGTTTTCAACGGTCAAACAAATGGGTCAAATCCATAAAATTCCGTTCATTGATTTGTTTGATCAAATTTTAATTAGTGCATATGCGATTTCACACACGCAATCCGATCGATGATTGACGAAGGAACGACGACATTCAAATTAACAATCATAAACTTTGAATAAACAGTGAAGTTATAAAAAAAATAAGGCCAGCAATGAAGCCAATAGGCATTGGATTTAATAACTTGAGCGAAGATAGCAGTTAGAAGAAAAGATTCCGTCTAAGTAATCAGACCTTTAGATAAAGCCAACAATTTCACTTTGGATTCTGATTAATAAGTGATTTCAAATGATTAGAATGATAAACTGTGAGAACGCTTAAACTAAAACGCGTGATTAAAACAATTCAAAGCAAAAACCATCTACAGAACGTTTACAATGTCGATCGGTTATCAAGTTGTAAAATATTGTAACGACACCTTATTACAACAATGGCAAATAGCGTGATAAGCATATTTTATTGAATATTTTCTCGTATAAGCTAAACCAAAATTGTTTTTCGAAGTTTGTGTTTTTGAATTTGTTATCATCGCATTTCGTCTGGCTTGTACACTTGACTATACGCGTGAGCAAACAAGAAATCGAAGAAATTTGGAAAAGTCCAAAGTTCTTCTCCATTTTGCCAATTATTTTATTTGCTTCTTCGCAAAATTTTAAAAACATGATTAAAACTGGAATGAGAAAGAAATTTTCTTTATTTAGATCGAACAAAGCTACCTGACCTCTTGTAAAAATGGCTACATTTTCGTTATGGGACTACCTCGTTTTGGTTGTTATGCTGATTATATCAGCCGGTATTGGATTATACTATCGCTTCACCGGTGGTAAACAGAAAACAACGAAGGTATATCGATAATTTATTCCGATTAACTTTATTTTGATGGTCAATAAATCGCTTCATTTTCGATTTATTTCATAGGAATATTTCCTCGCAGACGGCGGAGTCTCCATATATCCAGTTTCATTCAGTTTGATGGCCAGTTTTATGTCAGCCATTACTTTGGTTGGTATAACAAGAAAGAAAACAATTGCGAACATAATCGTTTTATTATGATTTCTTTTCCTCTTTTCAGCTTGGATTGTCCACTGAGATTTACACTTACGGCATTCTGTTTGTTGGTTCGTTTTATATTATTTCTTTGTTTTGAAATTTGAATCGGTTTATCGATTTTTCAACTTTAAATAAATGTTTTTCCTTCTTTTTGCAGTTATCAACTTCTCATATGGATTTGCCACCGCACTATCAGCCTTTTTTTACTTACCAGTATTCTACAAATTACAAGCAACTAGCGCCTATGAGGTAAGTTGTGGCCAAGAATTTGAAAAAAAAACATCATAAATTATAATCCAATATTTCTTCAATATTTTCATTGATACATATTTTTTGTCTTCGCGTTACAGTACTTAGAAAAGCGTTTTGGAGCAACAACGCGACTTATAGCCTCAATAACGTATTCACTTCAAATGATACTGTACATGGGAGTTGTCCTGTATGCCCCAGCATTAGCATTGGAAGCGGTTACGGGAATTTCAAAAGAAAATTCCATTTTGATTATTGGTAAAAAAATATTGAAATTAATTCATTTGAATCTTTTTAAGTTCATGTAGTTCCAATTTGAGTTTTTGTCTAATGTTTTAATGAATGTTTCAGGTTTCGTTTGCACGTTCTATTCGACAATCGGAGGCATGAAAGCTGTCCTTGTTACTGACGTATTTCAGTAAGTGAACTCGTCCACTTGAAAAGAGCACATTTTTTTGCATCATTTTTCTTTTTAGATCATTACTTATGTTTGCTGCTATTTATTGTGTCATCATTGCTGCGGCCATTCATGTTGGTGGAATAGGTGAAATTTGGAATATTTCGCGGGAAGGTGGTCGATTGAATTTCTTCAAGTAAAACTAATATTGCGATTTACTCTTTATAAAGTGGTTCTTTTCTAAAATATGGTTGACATTTATTTGCATTTAGTTTCGACTTGGATCCAACCGTGCGTCACACATGGTTCTCTTTAATCATTGGTGGTTTTTTCACATATTCCACAATTTATGCGTGCAATCAAACACAAGTGCAGCGCATGTTGACGGTTAAGAATTTGAAGGCATCCCAGAAGGCGATGTTTTTAAATTGGCCCATTCTATCATTGCTCAGCTTGAGCACCTGTTTCAGTGGTCTTTGTTTGTACGCATACTATGCCAAATGTGATCCACTTTTGCATGGAGACATCACATCGAGAGATCAGGTCAGTTGCTCTCATTCAGAAATTGTAATTAGAAAACACTGAAATATTCTGATGATTTACAGCTGATGCCGAGATTTGTTGTCGATGCGATGGGTCATTGGCCGGGTCTATCGGGAATATTTGTATCTGGCATTTTTTCCGCTAGTTTATCTTCAGTTTCAGCTGCACAGAATTCGCTAGCCGCTGTCACACTGGAGGATTACATTAAAGTAAGAAAATGAATTCATTCTTTTTCCTCTGTAGACAAGTGTAAAACCTTTTATTTTTATTCAATTCGAATTTTATAGCCACTGTACTCATATATAAAAGGGAAGCCACTTAAAGAAACGAAATCAACTTTACCATCGAAAATAATCGCCTTTTTATATGGATTAGTCTGTATTGGTGTTGCTTTTCTAGGTAAAACAGCACTTGAGCTCATGAGTTAGAGCAAAGAGAATACTATTAAACTGTTAATGCCGTTTTAGCGCAATACTTTGGAGGAATTCTTCAACTCTCGCTATCAATATTCGGAGCTGTTGGTGGCCCATTGTTGGGAATGTTTTCATTAGGAATGTTCACATTGAGAGGAAATCAACGGGTAAAGCCATTTCTACTTAAATAAGAATACTGGAGCATTACACCTTCGACATTCGCATTGTATTGGAACTGAGTAAACCATGTGTTTTCCATTTTTCAGGGTGCAATTACTGGCCTCATAATTAGTTTAGTATTTGTTCTGTGGATTGGGTTTAGTCCAAAGCCTTTACCTCCAACGCTTAATTTTTCAAAGGACGGGTGTCCGAACACTCCTTCACTGGTTACAACGCCTGTACCTATCACCACACCCGCACCAACCAATGCAACAGAGATTGAGTAAAAACGTGAATTTTATTGGCATTCGACCGACAAACATCTAATGCATTTTTTCGTTTCATTTTTTCAGATATTTCTGGTTATACAAAATATCCTACATGTGGTATGCGCCGCTTGGCTTTTTCCTATCCCTTATCATTGGATGGATCGTCAGTGTGATTCTTGAATCATTCAACTTAGGCGGTGAGCCGACAATCTATACTGATAAAAACCGAACAATCATTAACGCCGACCTCTTCACACCGCCTCTCGCCAAGCGTTTACGTAAGCGGAATGCCGAGATTATGGGAAAGAATTTTGCGGTAATATTTCTGATAGAAACCATTGATAGCAAATCAACTTAAGCGCATATCATTTTTTATTCGTAGGTTGCAAATGGGGATTTTGGAGCACATACTGAAAATAGTACACATTTCTAGAGTTGATCTGTCCATTTCTTGAGCTGAGCTCAAATGCTACAGATAACATATACGGCAAATCAACTTTTGGATCGCAGATTTTTCTGACATTTTCAAACAATAAATTTTACAAAAGTCTCTGATAAAAAAAAAGTAACAAAAAGTCGATATGAATACATTTGAAAAAAGAAAAAGTTTTAACATAGTGCAAAGTATTTATTCACACAACTAGCAAGTAGAGAGAGAGAGTCTTCCATTCAGCACACATCGATGTATTGAAGTAAAATCGTCAAAAAAAATGTAGTTGATTATTAAGCTGTTTATCAAGTGTTGTTGAAAGAATTTCAATAAAATGCTATATTATCATGCATGAATGTGATACCGGCCTGTCTATTTGTTTATATTTTGTGACAGTGTCATGTTTGGGACAAAAAATGCAATGAACTGTCAACTGATAAATGTTTGAGAATGATTCTGTCAAATTAGTATTGCGTAGCCAAAAGCCGAACGGAGTTAGTTGGAATCAATTTTGTATTCATTGATCATAAAGTAAGTAGTTCTTTTTGTCTTTTTATTGTTGTTTTTAAAGTAAATAATCAGTAGAAAATTTTTGGAAATGATTGAACATTACAAAATATATTGAATTCGTGTAAAATATAACCTCTGTTCGGGTTTTGTTTCAGATATAAACAAAAAAAAAACAAATCGAAAAGGCGGTGCCTGAAAAGTTGGAATATTTCATCGTTGCAATTAGTGTGGTCAATCTGAATGGATGCAATGGTTACTGAAACGTTGAAACCGCCTGAGGAAAAATTTTCCACTCATTTGGATGATTTGCTCGCGAACAAACAATCACAAGATGCGCTGGAACTCATCGAAAATGGTGACAACGAAAGAAATGTCATCGACAACTGTTCTGAATTAATAACCACAGTCGTAAAATATCTAACTGATCAGAATTTAGCGCAAAATTTTGAGCTGCACAATGCATGCGAAAAGATTCTCATTAAAATTGCCACGCTATGTGATGAGTCAGATGCGGTTTTTGGGTTGCTTGAAATAATCGATTCGACCGAAACGGACAACACCGTTGTGTCAGTGTTAAAGGCGCTGCAAGCACTGCTATTGAAGCAACCGCAACAAAATTCACGTGCTCTGGAATGGGTGTTGAATTCCGTGCAACAGTATGCAAGTGAATTACCGTTGTCGATACAGCTTCGCAATCGGATGGACGATGAAGAGGAGCAATTGTTGGAGGAAGAAGATGAGGTTAAGCGTATAGTCAGTTTTTATATTTTCATGATAAAATTCTACGAACCGATTTTGGATAAAATCATTGAAAATGAGCCAGCCAATAATACTTCATTCCGTAACAACGGTCTGACCCAGCGAAACATACTTGCATGTTTCATCATTCAGCTGTTTGGCATCCCATTTGCATACCTCGATCTGTCTGATCCCACGTCGAATGCTAAAAACGACAGAGGAGTTACACTCACAAATATTTACAGTCGCCAATGTGTGACGTCCCTCGTACACCATTTGACCAAATTGGTGGTGAATCCGTTGCAATTGATTGTATATGGTCAGCGACGTGCTCTTTGGCCGTATGTCTTCTCCGAATCGGATGATCCAGAAAAATACTCGTTTATGCCGTTGGACATTTTTCTGCTGGACGCTAAAGTTTCAATCACCAGCTTAGCCGTTATGTTCTATGCACTGTTTGTGGAAAATCTGTTTGAACAAAGCAAACCGAAGATCTATCGTGGCATTTATCTGTTGGAAATGGGCCTGTATTTTGCCACTGATCTCCTGTCCGGCACAGAGGAAACGTTACACACTAAAGGAATCCGATTGGCCGCTAAACTTTTGCAAAATCTACATGATGAAAAGCTCGATGATGACACATTGGATTTGGATATTCACAAAATATTCGCCACAAAACTCATCGGAGTCTTGGACTCGACACAAGTGCGCCGAAACAGTCAACTGGGTGTGGATCTGTTGCAAAAGTACATCGGCATATTTAAGACAATCAACGCAAAATATTTTCACATCCAACATTTGCTCGAAAGCACAACAAATAATAAAATCCGAAGTTTACTGGTGACCATTTACAAGAATGTCATCGCCGACCAAATCAACGCGGTCGATGCCAATGCACAGCCCGAAGTGTCGGTATTTTGTCGAGGTGAAAAACTCAAATGGCTATTGCTTAATCGCATTTGCATAATGCCCCGCGGTGTTGAAACGGATATTTTACAGCACAACGATTTGATAATGGCCGCATTGAATATGCTTCGTTTCTTAGCCATTCGCGACAAAAAGAATGCAACACAAATCTGGGATTATATGAGTGAAATTGAAGAGAAGTTCCTAAAAACGTTGCGAACATCGTTGGATTGCACACGAGCTCATTACAAACTTGAAGAGAAACGGATTCAAGAGAAAAAGACTGCCGGCGTTGAGTGTGAAGTGAAAATACCTGACAGCGAATACATGGATATGTCGGAGGAGAATCAACTGCGAATGCTTGCCATCGGTCAGAATACCTTCGATTTGATTGATAACGTATTATGCCATTTGATTGAATGCATCGAAGCTTATCGAGCTAAAAAATAATCACAAATTTTAATTTGGAATTTAAACAAGGGGCATTTCGAAGGAGCGGAAGAGAGAAAAAGTATCACTTTAAAGATTTAATTGTAGCATGAATGAAGATAAAATCTCTTTGTGATAAAGAAAATGCACGTAAAAATGCGGTATTTTTCTAAAAGAAAAAAAAAAGGACACAACTTTTTATAACATATGTATACAAATTCAACCTTGAACAAAATAAAACTCCATTTCCATTGAACCTTCCTCAATCCACCTGTATGTGTGCGTATGTCATTTTATCATTTATTTTTTGCTGAAACCAGCTGAAACCAAAGCAAGCCATGTGCTATTCTTCCTACATCAACTGGAATTGCAATCGAAATCGATTAATCATCAACAGTTTTTATCAACAAGTAGCTCAGCACTATCAGCCAATTAAACAAAATCTCTGCCCTTTTATCGCAATATTTAGGCTGATTGAAATGGGCCAACTTAGAATACAGAATCGTCGAGGAAGAAGAAAAAACATACCATTGCATACAATGACACGGAGCAATAAAAAACAACAAAACTCATCAATCTTGGTAAGTGAGTTTCATTAAGGAAAATTGCCAAGACACACATATGCCTTGTCGTTCGTATTACACAGTTTGGAATACGAACAGTTTTAGCAGTCTGCTCGCTTATACATGTTGTTATTGATTTGTGTGTTCATGCATCTAGTTGTTTCAACTATATACAAATGAATTCTTTCCATCGTCAAACTATAAATAAAACAGCCTAAGTGTATGTATACACGATACAGATACACCATAGACCGGCTAAATAATTGCACAACTACATGCGGAAAAATCAATGTATGGTGGTTGGACACGTTGTGCGCATACACGTTCCGTTACCGCGCTTCTCTTTCGTCACACTACGAAAAATGCCAAAGCGTTAACCGTACGCCACAAACACTAGCGCTGCCAGAGCGAATGTGACAGTCATAGCGTGCGGTTGGATTAATGTGTCTTTCATTTGATTCGATTTGTTCCGAAAACGCACAGTAGCTCACTTCAGTTTATGTTGTTTTATATTGTCTTCTTGTTTTGTGTAAAACAAAAAAAACTGAATTTTAATAATTTTGCTGTCCATAAATCGCATCGTGGACCAGTTTCATCAATCAAAAGTTACTAAATTACGCATCGGTATCGGTGTAATTGAATCAATTTCAATCGAAATTTGATTGAAACAGTGTCTGTGCGTATATCGTGTGCAAGTGATTCTAATTAGAATAATTGTTGTGTGGGAGGAAATGAGTCAAACAAATGGAATTGCAATTGAAAATGACATGGATAATGTTAAGGATACTAACGCTAGTGATGACCAACCACAAAAAACGCATAGTTTTGACTTGATATCGGCTGGATTGCCTTCGGCCGTGCCACAATATGGACTAAAATTGAAATTCAATCACAAGTATCCAGAGAAACGTACACAAAACATACGACCATCGGTGCGACAGAGTTTGCCACTCATTCCACTGGCATGGAGGTAACATCATCAATATAAAACGATATTTATAGATACATTTATGGACGATATCGTGGTTGTTTTAATATGTGTCATTCAATTTATGACTTGACAATTTCTAGCGGGCTTACTTTTCATTCACTCGTGACTTGGATTTTTTTTTTGTCATCGCAAATCATGAATAATTAAGAGAGGGGTTTTGAAACTCGACATAAATGACATTCATCTCTCACACTTCAAAAAAATACAAAACGAATAATTCCGGCATTTTTCAACTAAATGGGTGTTTTTTTCCCATCCAGCCCACAGTCGTTCCGCGCGATGTACCAAGTGCAAAGTGTCATTCACCCTTTTTCACATTTGCACAAATGCATATCCGAACCCGAATCCGAATCCTATACAACAGCATTTCCTCCGTTGACAAATACAATAAACGTTTCACCGTCATGAAACCAAACCCGTGCATACATACAAAAGAAAAAAAATTGTTTGAGTAATTGGATGTGAGCGGTTTTGAAAGGATTTTCTTTTGTAACCTACCCTACACCGTCATTTTATTCTTCTTCTTCTTCTTCGTCATTTTTTTGTCAAGTGCATTGACTCAACGACTTTCCGGATACGCGAACACTGACACAACCAACACATTTTATAGAGCAATCACGAAAAATATTTATCTTCTATTTTACATTCCACATGCCACATTCATCACACATGCCCAACAAATGGCAATAATGATGACATGAATTATGGGATTGTCCAAGTCTATAAAATGTAAACAAACTAACGTCGTTTACGTATTGCACAATTTTCGCCGAACCAAGCAAAATATGTAAAATTGATGAATAAATAATATTCGACAATATAAATAGAGCGAGGAAATGTGTCTGTGTTTTGTTCAGGCAGCGATCATGATTACGTCATTTAATTGATAGAGCATGAAATATGATAAGATAAGTTCGTTAAAAGTTGTAAATGACCCAAATCGTACGATCTTAGATTAATAAATTATTTTCGTTTTTTCTTTTTCTCTATCATTTTTGGACACTTTCTTGGAATTTAAAATTTGTCATCATCAACAACAACAACAACAACAATACTATGTTTCATGTATTATTCAAAATTTCTCATTCCCAGATATCTGATGTATTACTCAAAAGTGACGCGCGAAGGTCGAAAATGCGTGATGGATTACAATTACGTGGAGCATTCGCGTCAGATTTACGGTGTACCCATCGGTGGTATTGGCAGTGGAACGATGGGCCGTGGGTTTGCTGGTGAATGGTGTCGATTTCAAATGCGCCCAGGAATTTATGAATACAATGTCGTCCATGCCAATCAGTTCATCATAACGATCCGTGATGCCGACGGCAAATCAATTTTTCAAAGTCTATTGTCTACCTACGAGTGAGTGTTTTTAATTGTATAAAGTCGAACAGAATAGAACACGACAAAAAAAATCATGTCGATTTTCATAATTCATGACGAACGAATGATTCTCGCTGGATACTTGTTGAGGTAGCATATAAATGAAAGAGCAAAAGCTGTAAGCGAACAGAAAATCAATAATTTCGTTCTCAGTTTATGTTGGTGCCACTAATTCAAGCGACACACATACACACAACTTTTATGCTTCGACTAGTTGGCTGGCTGGCTGGTTGACTCGACTGGCTGGTCGGTCGATTGCTTGATGTGCGTTCCGCTTCTCTCTTTTTTATTACGGTTGCTTTTATGAGTGTTACAATCGTGCCTGTATTGTATATACGTATCGGAAGGAGTGACGAAAACCAAAAATACACTCAATGCCTGTGCGAACATGGAAGGAAATAAAATAAATTTATAACAGCTTGCAAACTCGAACTCGATGGCGTCATCCAGTCTACAATATTCGATTAATGTTTTATTCCATGCAATTTCCGATGTACGGCGTTTTTTTCCCTTTACCTCGCCTGCCTTCTTTATTTTGCCCTCTCTTTTCATTCCATACATACCAACTAACTAACGCGAGGCAAGTCAAATTATGGCCCACATTTAGTTCCTTAATTGCTATAGTAAATAACGAGTCATTTTCTCAAGTCACCCAATGGGAGTGCGAGCGAAAGATACACAGTTATGCGTGAAGCTAAACGCAAAAACCATTTTCGTGTCGATGAAAAGCGTGTGTTTTTGCAATATATATATATATATGACAAATTATATTTGAAATTTCATTTCATTTTCGTGCCATGGCTTGAATACAAACCGACCACAATAAGTTTTTGTTGCACGAGAACTTTTGTGCTATGAATTGTAGACTGACTTTGCAGAATATACAATTCTATAAACTGCTAACAAGAAATGAAGAAATGAAGAGTTTGCACAGAGTTTCATTTAATGCTATCTCCAGAACTTTGAAAGAGTTTATCCAGTTGGCTCCATAAGCATGAGTCCATTGATAGCCTATCAATGATAGGCACTTTTCCATAGAATATAAATCCATGTAAATTATCTATATACGTCCACAACAGACGACCAAAATCATCGTTATCAAGTTGGGAATCAAATTTGGATGCGAACAAATGTAGATACACAGGACTATATCCACGCGCTTGGTCTGAATACGATCTCAGCGAGCATGGCATTAAATTATGTTGCCGTCAAATTTCGCCATTTCTCCCGCACGAGTACAAAGACTCATCGTTGCCGTGCGCCGTTTTCATTTGGACAGTGGAAAATGTGGGCAATGAAGAGCGAAGCGTATCAATTACGTTCACATTTAAAAATGGGACTGGTACCAAAAAACAAGACGCCGAAGGTCAGTAAACAATTAACACTCAATTTATTTATATTCCATCAAATTGAAATGGTTTCGCTTATATATAACGCTAACACATATATAGGCAATCCGGTGACAACGACATTAGATAGCGAATCGATAAAATCGGTTTGTATCAAACAGACGATTGTCGGCATGGAGTGCACATATGCGGTTGCGTGCAAAGGTGATAATGACACCAATGATAATGTAACAACATGTACGCAATTCGATCCGTGTGGCAGTGGTGAAAAATTGTGGAAAGACCTGTTTGAAAATGGTAAACTCACCGAAGCCAGCAACGATGAAAAACTCAAAGGTAACTTGATTCCGACTGTGGCGAATTTATAGTTTTCTACTATCCATTTTCTATTGTTTTGTTGTATTACGATTGCAAACAGCCAAGGATGTTGGTGTTGCTATTTGTGGTGAGGTAAAGGTCATGCCGCAGTCCAGCACCGACTTGGAGTTTGCGCTAGCATGGGACATGCCAAAAATACAATTTCACAAGAAAATCAAAGAATACACCAGGTAAGTGGAGTATTTTTATTTAGCATGTCAAATGAAATATGGCACTTTAATGGCAATTTTTCGATTCATTTCCTGTCATTGCACAGATACTATACTAAATATTTCGGTGGAAATGGCGATGCCGCTCATAATATTTGTATATACGCATTGGAAAGCTACGAGAGATGGGAACAGACGATAAGTAATTGGCAGCAGCCAGTACTTAACGATCCTGAACTACCAGAATGGTATAAGAGTGCGATATTCAATGAATTGTACTACATTGCTGACGGTGGCTCACTTTGGCTGATATTCGAGCAAACGGACGATATTGATTGTAATGATCCAAGGTAAAATTCGATATTTTGAAAAACACAAATAAAAAATTATATTTTATCGCAATACCTATTCTGTTCACCATTCGTTTAGATTGGCTTACGGAAGATTCGCGTATTTGGAAGGTCATGAGTATCGAATGTACAACACTTACGACGTACACTACTATGCATCACATGCATTAGCTAGCCTTTGGCCAAATCTGCAGATAAGCATGCAGTTTGACTTCCGTGACAGCATCAGTATGGAAATACCAGAAGCGCGTAAGCATTTGTACGATGGCAAATCGACGAGTAGAAAAGTACCGAATTCCATTCCACATGATTTGGGCGATCCCGATGAGGAGCCATTCACCCTGATCAATTCATATCCAATTCACGATGTCGCTGAATGGCGTGATTTGAATGTGAAATTTGTGCTCCAAGTGTATCGAGATTTTGAAATTCTCAGCGGATTATCCAAGTCGGCACAATCAAACCCCAACAAGTTTACATCAATTGAATTCATTGACAAGGACAGTGTGTTCGATTTGAATGTGCACATTCAAGACAATCGCAATAAAATATCATCGCCCGAAAATGAAAAGACAAAGAAACCGGCTTCACTCTATATCAATGGAAGCAACGGAAAGTTTTGCTTAATGGACGGCTTGACTTATTTAAAGGCAATGTATCCGGCTTGTAGTACTTTGATTGAGAAAACACTCGAATGGGACAAAGACAACGATGGTTTGATTGAAAATAGTCGATCACCCGATCAAACATTTGGTTAGTATTGTGCTGTACATACGATTGCGAATAGAAAAAAAAATAAGTTTCGCTTACTGCCACACACAGATACATGGGTTATGGACGGGCCGAGTGCATACTGCGCCGGGTTGTGGTTGGCGGCGCTACAGTGTATTGTAACCATGGCAAATTTGGTTGATAAACCTGAAGATAGCATAAAATACTCGGAAATACTGGAAAAAGGTAAAAAAGCCTTTGAAGAAAAACTTTGGAATAAAACTTACTACAAGTTTGACACGATGAGCAGTTCGAAAAAGTCTGTCGTCATGGCAGATCAACTATGTGGCCATTGGTATTTGAGGTGCTGTGGTTTCGACTATGACGTAAGTTTGCGTGATATTTTACTTTCTGAAGTTGAACATGTTACTCATTATTCAACGTTTTTGTTCAATCTTTTATTAATGCTGCTATTGATTTCCAACGTTTCAATCACTATCCAGGTGTTCCCAAAGGAAAACGTTCGTACGGCATTAAAGACAATCTATGATAATAATGTTATGGGTGTTTGTGATGGAAATTTGGGTGCTGTCAATGGATACGTATTGAATTCAAACCTGGACAAACCGGGTCATGTTGATTACACCACTATTCAAAGTGAAGAAGTATGGACTGGTGTGACGTACGCTCTGGCATCAACTATGCTCTACGAAGTATGTGACATTATATGTGTACTTTATTGTGACTGAAAATACCAAACTTGAATCGATACTTTTTCTTCTGATGAAAAAAAATTAAATTAAATTGGTTTTGTGTTATTCGTTCACAGGGAATGGTCGATGAGGCATTCCAAACAGCTGGCGGCCTATACAAATCGATATCACAACGTTTTGGAATGAATTATGAAACTCCAGAAGCCTTTTTCGTTGGCCGTTACTTCCGTTCGCTGGGCTATATGCGACCATTGAGCATTTGGTCAATGCAAATGGCCTGGGAGAAAAAGAAACAGCAACGCGATTAATAGACAATTGTAACATCTCTATACAATGAAAATAACTGACCAAAAAAAGACATACATATATAAGAACCCCTTAGATTATATCATTATTGTACGTGAAATGTCACAAAATTGCATTATGAAAAAAATGTTATATTTCTGTATTTGATGGTATTGCTTGTGAGTGACAAAGAATTTAAAATGAAACAAAAAAAGAAAAACAAACAGTTCAACAAAATGAATTTAATGTATGGTGCACAAGCATAGATGGCACGAATACACCCCACACAAAATGGTTTCACAAGCTAGTAGATATTGTTTGGTGCAATTTAGAATTGCTTCGTTGTTTCGAAATCCCGATAGATATATGTACAATTCACTCACAATTTAGTGTCGAAATTCTGTGATCAATGTGTTTTGGAGAACGAAATCTGAGAAGAAGAAACAAAAAATAAACCCCAGAACCAAAATCATTTTTCGTTTTGTTCGTGCAATTCTAATGAAATTCAATTCTCTTAATTCAAATGATGTTGTAAAATCTATGTTCATATATATTATATACCTACGTATAGAGAGGAATAGATATTTTGCTTATTAAAATCAAACACACAATGGCCGCAACTTTTGCTACAAATGACAATGAGCTGGAAATCAATGAAATAACAAAATAAACCCAAAAACGACCTCAATTAATCTTGTGAATGTATTTTTTTTTCATATATTTCAATCACTTTGTTTAAATCTGCTTGCATATGGACTTTTGTGGATAGGAAAAAACAAATATTGAACGGCATGTAATTCGGTGAAAGCAAATAAAAAAAACACTATAACCCTTGAATTACCTGTGTTTTGCATTAAAGTTTTATTTAAATCAATAAATGTTTCGCATCCAAAACAGGAGCGTTGGCCTGGACCTGTCACGTTTACGATTCAAGCAGTTGGGGCATTCATCAATAGCTCTTGATTATTGCATTTGAATTTTACAATTCGAGTTATTCCACCAGTCTAGGTATGCATTGAATGCAAATATGTTGTAAATCAGAGTGTAATCCGCGTATTCAAAATGCTGCGTCATTGCTATTGATTTCATAATAATGACTTCATCGTACCAAGTTCATTTGAATGCGGTTTGCGTTTTTGCGAATAAAATCGGTTTATTTGTTTTTTATTGGCTTAATAGAAACCGTTACATATTTTCACAAAATTTATATACATACATATTTACAATATATCAAATAGACACAAATCAAAATAGGGGAATCTCAGAATAAGTATATTAATTTGAGTACGAAACTAACATTCATCAGGTTATGAGAAGATACGGAGATTCACATGATTCAACATTTGGTGAGTTGAAGAATGGTGGTAGCATAACGATAGAAATGAATAAATGCTCCAATTTTAGCGAATATAAAATCAACATATTTCAGCTGTGTGTTGAGTTCGTTGTCGATGTGGACGCTATGACTGTATCACATGCATTGCTAGAAACAGCATCAGATGGAGTGGTTTTGGTTGGGGTGATTTGAGATTGTCGCATCAAAGCCGAAAGCGTTTCGGATTGTCGAAGCGCGGACAAAGCCAACGCTGTGTCGATCTCATGTGCACTTCCCTTTTCATTGTCCAAATAAATGTCATTGATGCGATCATTAAACCTAGCCAACGTTCGAGACCTGTAGTCAACTGTGCCGGCTATTGGATTTCCAGTGAGAATAAGCTCTTCAAGACATGGCAAATTGGCCACATAGTCGACTTCATCAATTGATTCGATTGCATTGCAGCTCACATCCAATTTGATTAGAGTGAATAGTTTTCGAAAGCCTTCCAATGACCGCAAATTATTTTGTGACACATTCAAATGCATCAAATTGCCACCCAATTGCAAATGCAAATCAATGCATTGCGAAATTTGATTTTCACACAGGCTAAGCGTTTGCAAGTATGGCAAATCGCTTAGATTTTCGATGGTTTGAATTTGATTTTGGTCCAAAACGAGTGTTTTTAAATTTGGCGCCAATTTAATGGTCGTATCGATTACCTTCAACTTATTATCCGATAAATTGATATTCTCTAAATTTGGCCATACATTATCATCGCTAGCATCGTTTTTGTGCACACAATCACACAGTAAAAACTCATTGATTCGAGTGACTGATGTTGAGTGCCAGGCCAATTGCTGTATTGTCTGTCGCAATGTTCCCATATTTGTAATATTTTCAACATTCAGCCCAAACACTTGCAGCGTTTTCAGTGTCTTGAAAGCGACTAAATCAAATTTTAGATTGCTTGGAATGATATTGCTCGTGCCAATCGATGAATTTTGATTCACGAAAAAGGATGCAGATTCAATGATGCGCTTCTAGAATTGAAAAATAAATATAAAATTATTTCCAAAGATTTCACTACTTCCTTCAAATCGAACTAAAATTTGACTCAAACACTTAAAAGTTAAACTCCAGAACACAACTTACATTTCTTGGTCGCACAGTGAGCCGTTCGATTTGTGAGCAAAAATCAACGACATGAGTGAAATCGTAAATATTTTCAACGGTATCATTCGCTGGACACGGTAAACGTAACCTTTCCGAAATGGCATGCAATTCTAGTACCGAAAATTCGTAGCGTTTATTAAAAAATTGCAACAAAAGTTCGGATTGCTGAAAGAATGTGTTTGCTAAATCTTGTAGCAAATAAACGATATCGTATTTGTTGAGCTCCAAAAATTCCACAAAATCGCGGCACATGTGATGCTGCAGAAAAAATAGCACCTTTTGCAAATACTTTTCCAAGTCTTTTTGTCGTTGTTCCAAGAATTGAAGTGAACGATTGCCAATGACCTTGAAATAAAACCACAAAATTCGAATCCAGTTTATGGAGAGTAATTTTTTTTTTTTCAAATGGGAAATGTCAAAGTACCTTTTTCGGTGGCAATAAATCCCGTCCGATACTCTGCCCATTCACGAGTTTATTGTGTAATTCAACAAACTCCTTGTATCGATGGCGTACCGTCCAATTCACACTGCCGATTGAAACAAGAATATTGTAATACGTAGTTCCTGTAAATCAAATAAATTTATTATTAGCTTTTCTAATTGAAACTGTCAAAACCAAGTGGCGGATATTCTCACCATTTACATCAACATTACTGGGAATGGTAATGGTTGTCTCTTGCTGATGCTTAAAGTAACACGACATTTTTTTTTCAATTTTCCTCCACAACAAAACGAAATTTACGAAAAAAGGCACCGTTATTTGAAACTCAGAAAACGCACTATGATCGCGATTGCAATTGCAATGGAATCAGTAAGCTCGAATCAATGCAAAAAAATGCACTAATTGCACATATTTCACTATTAGAACTGCGGTGCCGTCTCGTTTCGCTCAATTCAATTTGATGTGCTCATTTATCTAAGCCGTTTTATTGTGTGTGCCTTGACGCCGTTAATTATTTGTTTAATCGAAAAAAAGGCTTTAATCAGATGATTGTGCTGCACAATAAGAAATCAAATACTTATATCAATATCAATACAAGATGTGTCATTTATACTATACAAACTCATTAGATGTCAATGGACTGTCAAATCCATTTGTCACAATCTCTGTTTGCTATGGTTTGTCCCAATGTTTTGTGTCTGTCTGAATTCGAAATTGCAACTGTTTGTTCAGGAAAAAATTTGCTATTGGAGAATCTTCAATTAGAAAGTGAGTCTCAGTGGGCCATTTGAATGAAAATCAATTTGAAATTTTTGAAATTTTGCGAAAATTCAACGTAAACTCATGTTTAATACATAAATGAAGATAAAGAAAATTTCACATTCATACCCACACATTTCCCATTGTTTACTATTTGAACTCTCTATTATCCCATCCCAATCAAAAGTACTTAACCAAATCGAGATTCGTACTTTGCTGAATTGTGACAACAACAGTTTGACAGTAAATTGCGAATATTATTCTAATGAGAGAGGTGATACAGCCAAATTGTCATGTGTACGCATGTGGTCCATTAAATTGTAACTATAACAGCTGATAAGCAATTGTTCAATAGTCATGTCGTGATTTAACAGTGAGCCTATGATTCTGAATGAAATGACATAACAACAATAAAAAGTCAATATAAAACAAATGCCAATCGTTCGGCGTGGATTCATTTTTCGGTTGAATTTCGTTGGCGTTGGTTCAGTTTTTTAAGTATAGCTGTTAAATTAGTTCGTGTTTAAGTGGTTTGAAGTAAATATGGAGTGGTATCATATATCGTTGTTGCTGTGCTTTTTCGGATTTCTCAAAGAGATTCGACCATCCGAACCGTTTGTGAGTGACTATATGCAGGAACCATATAGAAATGTGACGAGTGAAGAAGTGAGGCTTTTTCTTTATTCCAATTCCATTAGATTCATTATTCCGATCCTGGATATCTAATTTCTTGTTAATTTTTTTTATTCTTCTCTTCTCTAGTTAAATCGCTACATATACCCAATAGCGACATACTCAAATCTTGTATTATCAATTGTGGTTCTATTTTTTACTGACTGGCTGAGGTAATCGAAATAGTTCACTGAAAATGATTCAAGGTCACAACATTTCTAAGCCTAAGATCTTCATTTCTCTTCAATACAGATACAAGCCAATGATCATTCTGACTGGGTTGGCAGGCACTGTAACATCGGGGCTTCTAATATGGACAAAATCATTCCATGGTGCTCAACTGATTGAAGTGTTCTATTCGCTGTATTCCACGTGTGAAGTGGCCTATTTCGCATATATCTATGCCAAAGTATCGAAAGAATATTTTTTATCTGTTTCGTCACACACACGAGCGGCGCTATTAATTGGACGATTCACATCGGGTCTATCGTCACAGCTACTTTTTCATTTCCAATTGATGGATGTACATTCATTGAACTATTTCACATTGGCTACACAAATCGCAGCCACTTCAATCGCAGTATTTTTGCCAAGAGTTAAGGAAAGCATTTATTTCTATCGAAATAAATCATTGACAGACGGTATCATTCAGGAGAGTAGTAGTAATTTACAGTGTAATTTAAATGATAAACAAGTCAAATATGATAAATGTCGGTTGGCCATTTTTTTGATGTGGAAACAATTGAAATGCGCCTTTTCAAATCGACAAGTTGTGCTGTGGAGCATTTGGTATGCATGCGGAATGTGCGCAAGTGTGCAGTTTCTCTCTTATGTGCAGCTCGTGTGGATTCAAATTGACAATCGGCCAGAGGTGATGATTTTGCTTGTTAAACTAATTATCACCGGCAATTGTTTCATGTTAATTTATTTTTAAATTTCAGTCGATGTGGAATGGTGCTGTTGAAGCTGTTGCAACTCTATTGAGTGCTGGTATTGCTCTATTGGCTAGTCGACTTCACACCAGTTACTTGAATACAAAGCTCAAAATATATTTAGCACTGTGTGCGATGTCATTATGTGCAAGCGCTTCTATTTTTGTGACGGCAAACGCACCAAATCGCTTCTTATCTTATGGAGGATATATGATGTTTTACATGTTTTATTCATTTACAATCACCATATCAAGGTATACGACTTGAATTTTACATCAAAATTTCGTTCTCTTGTCTAATAATCGTGCGGATTTCAGTGCTGAAATTGCAAAACAACTACCCGAAGACAGTTACGGGCTGATATTTGGCGTGAACACCTTTTTTGCATACTGTTTGCAAAGCATCCTGACCGCTGTCGTGGTGAGCGATTCATTTTCACTCCAATTGAATATCATTCAACAGATGAATGTCTATGGTGGATTCCTGTCACTCGTCGGTATCCTGTATTTCTTGTTAATGGTTATATCGGGTATAAAATCAATGAAAAGTACAAATACGATAAAAACCGATTTGAACTCCAATCCACATGCCAATGATATCACCATTTGAGATTTACTTCGATAACGAAAAAAAATCGTTATTTTATTTATTATGTGCTTGTTTGAGTATGAGTTTGACTCAGAATGTACAAATGTGAAACAAATATTGTGGCCAATGTACAATGTACAATAGGTACATTAAAAAATACTTATTATTGTGATTAATTGTTAAAGAATTATGAGTGTATATATTACTGTAAATAAAATGCATCTATTGTGGCAAATTTCTAGGAAAAATCTTCTTTTATTTTATGTTTTGAGTAAGATTTTCCAGTACGAAGGCTCCTAACTGCTCAATTGTTGATCACATGTCGAACTTTAATGAATATGATAGATGTTTTCGCCTCCGGAAACACAAGATCATAAGGTAGCTATAACTAGAGATTGTTTTGCTGATTGAGTTAATTATTGTTCACAACTAACTTACACTCAGTTTATGTTGTCTGAGATAAAAAAAACCCTGCGGATAGGTAAAACTCTACACTTTTGCTTCTGCTTCTGCTTTTTTTTGTATCGAATCGATGGGCAATGTATTCAGGAGCCCATTTTAAGCAAGCAGTAGACAATTTTTTTAAATTGTAATGAAAAAATGAAAAAAAAACATTATTCATCATCGGACAAATCACAGATTAAAAAGCTGATAATACGACCATGTTGTTATAAGAAGATAGTGACTGGAAATCAAATACGAAACTCGATGGATGCATCAAATTGTCTACTCAATGCATTTTCTGTAGTTACAGTGATAAAAGACATATCTACAGAAAACACCTGGTAACTTGTATATAGCTTTGTGATGTCATTCAACTTTCTATTATATCGCCATTTGGAGCCCATCTTAAACCGCAATTTATTATGTATCAAATTGAATTGTTTTCCCATTAACTATCCAACCTCTATCAGACGACTAATATAAACTATCTACGGCAGATGACTTTTGTTGGCTTCTTCTGATGATTTAGATATTCAAACAATAAAATATCCGCAGAGAAAGAAGGAATAAAATCGATAAAAGAACACATATTCAAGTAGAGACGATGCAAAAGGATTGGAAATAACAATAAAAGAAATACCCATTTGCCATTTGAAATCAGTTGACATGTTCAATCGAAAGAAAAGGAATAATGTCGAAGAAAAATATTTATTCTTCAACTTCGGCGAAAATGCTTTGATAGTTCTAAAGTAAATAAACCATAAAAAGGCTACTAATAATAATACAAAACGTTTTTCACCTCCAGTAAAATTAAAAATTTGCAATGTCTGGCGCAATGTAGATGCAATAAACGGGATGATGTTAAGAGCCAGACCATAATAGAATGGCAAATATCATAAATATTAATGCATTGAACATGACAGAAAAAAAAACGGTGAAATGACCGATGCTTCAGCCAGTTAAACGGTTGGCAAGTGTGCAAATGTGAGCATAAACAGATAGTTGTAGCACCATTAATGGATTCGTTCTATGTTTGTCCATCTAAAAGAAGAAAAAAAAATTGCGCATGCAATCGATGATCGCATTTCGAGTGGCTGTTGGCTCATTGCTGCAAGCACTTTTAATTTTTCTTTCATCTTCTTCATCCATTCGTTTCGCTTTCAATGCGGCATTTCGCTGTGTTGTGCGTCAGTTGGTGTCTGAAACGAGAAATTGCGCGAGCGACAAATGAAAATGAACTTGGTACTATTTCAAGGTGAATGCTGTGATAAAAACAATGTTTGTAAAAAAACTGGATTTTCACATGCGCTGCACGATTGGCCGTTCAATAGCAACAACAATAACGAAAAAAAGGATGATGCATTTGCCATCGGTATACATTCTTTGTTTGTTCGAATTGAAAGCGCATATTCGGAACTATGGTATGAAGGGAAAAAAGAATAGTCAAAAGAAGTGCAGATACAAACCAATGAGCTATAAATAAATTGGCACTGAAACTAACAATTCTGGTTCTTCGACCGAGTTTATAAAAGAACAACGCCAACCGGTGAAGTTGGCACTAAGTTTTCTGTTCGCATACGAGTTAGTCGCCGTTTTCTCCTGTTCAATCGACAAAGGTACATAGTTCAGTGAACTTTCCTTTTGTTCAGCTACAAAATTACTATTTGAATGTAAATTTTGTGCATTATTGCTATCTTTCATAATTTTTCGCGGATAGAAGTGAAAATTTTATTCGAAAATTGATATTTATTTGAGAAGTTATTTCATTTGTTTTTCGAATTTTCAAACGTATTATTGAATTATATAGAACCAAAAACCAATTCATTCCATTTTAAGATGTTCATCTCGTGGTTATCGATTCTAAGCGCAATATCAGTTGCCACAGCGTTGCCAGTGTCTGTGTATCCAGTTAGGCCATATGTGTTCTTAGCTCCTGAATTGCCGAAATTCGCATTGCAACCGACGGTTAAAGTACAATCACCGGCAACGATTCAACAAATTCAACCGGTTCCACTAACAAAGTAGGTTAATGTGATTTGTCGATGATCATTAAGTCGTTTGATTATTGAAAGTAAAACCATATAAAACTCGTTTCATTAGGTCAGAATCAGCACCTACCAGACAATATGTGGTAGTCTATCCATCCTATCAATATGTTACAACTCGTCAAGATGATTCAAGCAACGCGGGATTTTTCGAGACGATTCAAAACTATTTCATCAATTTTGGCAATGGACTGAGTCAGAGTGATGATGCGAGCCAGATAATGGATGCAATTGAACCGGATAAGCCACAGACAGCTGCAGCAACATCAGCAACATCAGCAACCACAGCCGATGCAACCAAATCCATTTTCGCTCCTGAACCAGTAGTATCACAGGAGAAAATCACACCAACGCCAAGTGAAAGCAAACAGAAATTCTTCTATTCATATTTAACACCCGCGTCCACCGTTCCATTGAATTCCGATCGACGGTTATTCTTTTTGGGTGATCAACCACAGGTTTTCGGTTCATTCAGTGGATCAGCGCTCAATCCTGTGTTTAATTTACAACAAGTGCCCGTTGTTTTATCATCACGCTCGAATGTTGCCCAGCCCGACGATCCGCAGCCGAATAAAGTGATCTCGGAAAATGTGCAGAAATTCTCACAAATTCCTCCCGTGATGGCCACCGTTGAGCAAACACCACAAGTTGAAGGCAAAAGCAATTCCATTGAACCAACCGATTCGGTGGTTGTAGATGCCGTACCAGAAAATCGTGTCGTTCCTACATTCCAACCAGTTGAGGATAATCGTGCGCTGCCCGTTGTTTCCACAGAAGCGACAGTTTTGGATGATAAAGCTCCTGTCGTTGCTGATGTCGTGCCATCCGTTATTGTGGCCCGCAGCAATCCCATCCCATTGGCTGTCTCAGGTGATCCGGTAGTTTCATCCTCAGCTGTAGCATCGTCAGTTGTGCCATCGTTCGTTGTTGACGGTGTGGTTGGAGGCGTTGTCGAAGGAAATGAATCAGTTCAACAAACAGTCGTTAGTCCATCGCTTAAAGAAGTTGAACCGGCTGTTGTTCCTCCGGCCGTCGTATCCTCTATTGTCGCTGACCAAACCGTTCAAGGCAGCCCAACCGTGGAATCGGTCACTTCGGGAAGCGTTTGAATAAATA